AGATCTGTGGGAATTATAGGGATCCGTGGTATAATAACATTTTCACCTTTTCCTACGCCTGTCAAAATAGTAGCACCGATTATGCTCCGTTCAAGATGTGTCACACGCAGCCTTGTCCCGTTACATAACCGAGGAGCATCTAAATTTCGCATTAGCATGACTGGGTCGCCTAATTTTAATTGAAGCTTATGTGAGGGCACACCCGACAACTCTAGAGAATTAAGAAACTCTACGGGATATGAAGTGCTCTGTTCTGTGTCCATAACTGTGTCTACTGACAAATACTCTGTTATTTCTCCTGCTGCTTTGCTTAATATATCTGAATTTATTTTGTTAACGCTCTCATTTTTTGGTGCAAGAATCGCCCTTTCACATAACCATTTGTCTTCATGCATGTTGTTCGTTAAATCTGAATAAACGCTCGCAATTAATTCGGACTCTGTACTAAATTACAAAAATCTCTCGTCAATTTAACGCAAGCCTCAGCATCCGTTTCCAACCACCCATCGCCAATTTTTAATAGTGTGTCAGTATAGTTTCCAGCATTGATATCATTATACAAGTGCACTCTCATATTCGTAGTTAAACTGAATTTTGTCACCTTGTTCCATAAAATAGACGACTTGAGGTATGCTTTAATTTCATCTGCAGGTGTGCCCTTTTGAATGACAGGTAAAGTTTGGCGAAAGTCAGGAGCCAGTAAAACCACCATTCCTCCCATTACATCGGTGTTGCTGCGCAAATCCTGGAGCGTTCGATTTAGTGCTTCTACAGCTTCTTTTTTATGCGACATTGTACTTTCGTCCCACACTAAAAGTTTGCATTGTCGTAGCATTATACCTCGTGCACTATTTTTTCTAAAGTTGCAGATCGGCTAATCTTCCTGGGCTAGATTTAAGAATTGTGGAATTTTACATCTAATTAGCAATTTGAATAAAAAAATAGTAAACTATACGAAAAACGAATACTGCGTAATTTTTATAGGAGAAGAAGACTTTCGAAAAACAAATAATTACTTTGATATCATCAAAGAAATGAGGAATACTCTACAAAATATTCAGCATACTAATATTATCCTGTGCCTTCCAACATACAAATGTAACAATTATTCCGCTATGTTTAACTGGAGGATAGAAACTTTTAATAATTTGTTGTACCTAGATCTCAACACGTTTAACTACGCAAAGCTATTAGATTCTAATCTTAATCTATCCTACGATTACAGTATGTTTTCTAAATATAGTGGGAGATTAAATAACTATGGATTGATAAATATCATGCGTAACCTACTAATAATGATAAGTAACCCTAACTTAGGTCTAGAAATATATCCAGAGACTAAAATTAATGTCAATAAGGAAACTGTCCCCACAGACTTAAATTCAATTTTTTTTCTATTGTAATTATATGTATATTATGCACCAAAATATTGCTGGCTTTCTAAATAAATCTGATGTATTAATTGTTCATATTCAGGAATTATTAAACAAACATATAGATATAGATGTATTGTGTATTACCGAGCATTTCATAATGTCTGGCCATGAAAAATTAATTCAAATATCCAATTACAAGCTAGCAACATGCTATTCAAGAAGAAATGCAAAAAGAGGAGGAGCCTGCATCTTGATAAAAAAATGTCTTGAGTACACAGATTTACCAGTCATCATGAAATACTCTATAACAGGAATTATTGAATGTTGTGCTATAAAATTAACAAAACAAAACACGATAATTTTATGTATTTATAAACCTCCAAAAATATGTAATATAGACAAATTTTACGAAAATTTAGACTCTATTTTAAAGAAATTATGTAATAACAAAAAAAGCAATATAATAATGTGTGGTGATTTTAATATAGACATTCTCAAAAGGAACAGATTAGCAACAGAATTTGAATGCTTTCTTTTGAGCTACAACCTTAAATTGGAAATTAACCAACCTACAAGATTAGACAGTAATACCTGCTTAGACAATTTTGCTCATAACCTTAAACAAAAGTACAAATGCCAAATAATAGACTTAGCCTTATCAGACCATACAGCTCAGATTCTAAAAATAAAAGCTAATAAATTAAGACAAATAAAATCTTGGCGGAAATCAATAAGAGATACGTCCAACGATAATATAAATAAATTCAATAAATATCTCCAACAATTATCATTTTCAGACGTTTACAATACTGACGACCCTAATAATGCCTATGATAATTTTATCGACTTATTCCTTTTATTATATGATTTATGCTTTCCTTTCAAGTCGATTATAGTACGCTCTGAAAAATCAATTAAATGGGTGTCACGTGGTATTCGGATTTGTAGCAAAAGGCAGCGCCATTTATTGTGGCAAAAGAGATTAAAACCGACATGTGAAAATAAAAACAATTTTTATACACATTCTGGAAGATTCAAAAAAATAATTAAACAGACTCAGAAAGCTCAAAATAACCATCTCTTCAAAACTCCAAAATAAATCCAAGAAAATAATAGAAAAACAATTACGGAACCTATTTCTCAGGTTAAAAAAGATGATTTATTAATAACGAACCCTAAAGAAATAGCTGAATCATTCAACAATTTTTTTATTGACCAGATCACAGATATACCAAAAAAACGTATAAGATGACATCAAAAAAATTAAATATAACCCACACTCGATATTTATATCACCGATTGTACCACAAGATATAATACGAGTAATAAAATCTTTAAAAAATAAAAAAAATTTTGGTTATGATGGCATTTCAACGCAAGTTATTAAATCTATTTGCAATAGCATATCTGGACCTCTTAGCCATATTGTTAATGTAAGCATATTAGTGGGAATATTTCCCGAAAAGCTGAAAACGGTTATAGTAAAACCACTTTATAAAAAGAACAATAAAGAAGATATGTCTAACTACCGACCAATTGCTTTGCTACCCGTGTTTTCTAAAATAATGGAAAAAGTTATTTACGAATCCATTTACGCATTTTTGGCTAAATTTAACATACTCTGCGATGAACAAAATGGGTTCCGAAAAAACAGAAGCATAAATATGGCTGTTTTTAACTTATTAAAGATGGTAATTACTAATTTAGATACCCGAACCCCCATATGTGCTATATATACAGATATGTCGAAAGCCTTTGATTATGTAAACCATGAAATACTATTACAGAAACTTAACGCATACGGCATTCGAGGTAACATTCTCAACAATCATATCTGATTCAACAATACAGAGATTACTAATATGCAAAATCAACGTGAATGCAAATATGTGTCTTCCTATAGAGTAATAAAATTCGGCGTACCGCAGGGAAGCGTCCTTGGGCCATTGTTATTTTTACTTTATATAAACGACCTCCCACGTCAAATTCATCATCCAATGGTATTATTTGCCGACGACAGTACAGCTCTAATAAATTGTTTAAATAAAGATTTTTATGAAAATGATATAAACACTACGATTGAAACTATAATTAACTGGCTGAATTATAATAATTTACTTATAAATATTCAAAAAACTAAAATAATGCACTTTTAACAGAAACTTCGCACTGAAGATCTAAATGTAAATTATAATAATCAAACAATAGAAAGAGTAGATGTCGCAAAATTTTTAGGTTTTTTTAATAGATAGCCAATTGACATGTAAGGCCCAAGCAGATGATGTCTGTAAGAAACTAAGTGTGTCTGCTTATGCACTCTATAAACTGACAAAAAAGGTCAGTATCAAAATGGTATTAGTCGCTTACCATGGTCTGGTGGTTTCCATTTTAAGATATGGTATTATATTTTGGGGCAACTGTGGCGATAGAGAAATCATTTTCAAAGCCCAAAAGCGCTGTATAAGAGCAATCTTTAATTTAAAGACTACCGATAGTTGTGTCCCCATTTTTAAAGCTCATAAATTATTAATTTTTCCGTGTCTATATATTCTTGAGGTAGCGTTATTTGTCAAAATTAATCATCATTTATTTCCTACCTTAAATGAAACTCGAGTACGAACTGTACCTACGAGAACGCAATATAAAGACTTATTGTACACAGGAAGATCTCAAACATCTTTATTAAAAAAAAGTGTTATGGGGATGGCAACAGTCATTTATAATAAAATTCCTAATTTTTGTAAAAAATCAACCGATAAGAAAATTTAAAAAGAGTCTTACTTCTTTGTTATTGGAAAGGTGCTATTACTCAGTATCGGACTTTTTAGATGATACCCATATAAAATAACGTTCAGTAAATTAATTGTTTTGTATAATCTGTTAATATTAATAATTTATAATGTAATAAGCTACCTGCAATATTAATTCAAAAATCAATATAATGTAATAGTTATAATAATGCAATACTTTTAATAATAATAATGTAATAACTATTTATAATCATAATTATCATATTAAATCTATTAATAATTATTTACTAGTGTAGTATAGAAATAAATTTTAATTTAATATTTGCATGCCAAAATGGTAGAATGTACGGATCTTTTATGTACTCTGTCAGCACCCTTTTTGTAAATTACCTACATTCTATGCAATATAAATCAATATTCTATTCTATTCTATTCTAGACGCCCTACACTCGAACTTTCGGCGGCTGGTCGGTTGGCGCGCGTATACACTTGAAAATTCTGGATTTTTCGGTGAAAAAGGTGTATTTATAGGCGCTACAATACGCGATCTGGGAAGTATTGCATTTGGCGAGACAAGCGATGCTTCGGAGCGAAATAAAGTGAATCATTGTGCAACTATATCATCATTAATTTTTTCAACGTAATGATGATATAGTTGCAACTAACTGTGTTAAAAGGCGCAAGTATTACTCTGTCTTTCATCCCATCTTCTGTGGCAATTCAATTTCTTCCATAGTATTTACGGCCAGTTCGCCGTTGCCTAATTTTAGTAAATAATCAGCAAATTATCGTTGTTCTGTATCAACTCGCATATTTTCTTCTAGTTTAAAAGTCTTAAAAATGGACCATAAGGAGCATCGCTTAATAGAAAGATCTAATAACTCAAACCTACTCGCACGCGGCTGTACAGGCAGACATTCCTACAGGCAGAATCTCCTCCTAGTACTATTACTTTTCCAACGAAAGGGAGATCTGAATTACCAATGGATCGCAAAAGTTGATCAATGTTCTGCAATCCATATTTTGGAAGCATTGGAGCTTCATCCATAAGAAAAATATCTATTTCTGCTAAATGTCTCGCTTTAGAAGAGTTAGGTACAATACTTGAGACTGAATCTGGTGTCAGTGGTACTTTAAGTCCAAAAGTTTTATGAAAAGTACGTCCATTAGGTAATAATATGGAAGCAATACCAGTAAAAGCCATACATTTTACTCTGTATCGTTTTCCTGTCAACATGTAGTATAAAGTTTTATATATAAATGTCTTTCCAGTACCCCCCGGCCCATCAATGAAGAAGCATTTCAAGTCAAGAATGGAATTAACGATTTCTATCTCTTTTCCTTTTAGTAACTGGTACATTTGCTCTCCTAATACTGCTGATTCATCCGTGTTCAAATTCTCTTGACTATCTTCAAGACCGTAATTATCAATGTCCTCAAAGTCAAAATTTTGTACCCAGTATTGGAAATTTCGGCCTTCTGTTGCTTCAGTGTTTAATTTTTTAGCAATCACTCTGTAACCGTGATTAATTGCATTTTATATAAACTGTTGCATGTATAAAATCTTCTGTTAAATTTTTTTTAAATATTTCCCACAGACGCTTTGGATTTTCAGGAGAATCATAAATTTAAATTTGTACAAAAGGGCTTCTCATTGCTGCAGGCATTTAAGATAATGCAGATTCTCGTAATCCTTCTATCCATTGTTGATCGTCGTAAGTCAAGCCTCGTACTAAGCAGGCTTGTTTAAGCGTCTGATATTGGATGTCTGTTACGGTTCGAAGGTCTTTAAAACTTGTTGCATCTTTTACATGAAATAGTAACAATCGCAAGTGGTAAAGTTCCGGTTGGGCAATGAAATTCACATTGTGAATCCTACCAATGACTCGCAAACAGCGAACTCTTGGCTCCCACTTGCTAGACCTTCCGATCCATTTAAAGTTTTCAGGCATCTGCCAATAAAAGTAATATCCACGTGTGACATTATCGCATGACTGATTATGTCTTTTAATTTCTGCATTATGCTTAAAATAAGCCTCCAAAGTAGACCCTCTTTGGCCAATATCGGCTAAATCTTCATGGATTTGATCCAAGTTTGCAATCCGATATTGTCCTGGTAAATGAATATCCATTCGTTGGACACTATGACTTTTTTTTGAATTTCAAAAGCAAATAATCGCCAGTATAGTTCAATTTAATATTTGTTATGCTGCTTGTGTAAGTAAAATAAAATTCAAGTCTTTCAGTTTAAATAATTATAATTTACAAAAGTTACAAGTCTTTACAACACACAGAAGGAGAATAGAGTGATAGTTATATATAGAAAGATAGCACAGGAACTAAGAGTCTCAAACGAACGAATTAATTATAATAAAAATTTCTTATCACAAGTAAATAGTCAACAAACGAACAGTATGGACCTACGTAGACGTACTGGTGGCATGGTGCGAACTCTCGTAGCAAGGGCAGCCAGCAGTGAACTGGTTTGCTGTTGTTGGGTCGCCCTTGCACCGACCGCTGCATTAAACAAGCCACTGCTAATACTTAAATATATATATATATATATATATATATATATATATATATATATATATATATATATATATATATATATATATATATATATATATATATATATATAATTTCTGTAGAATGGTATGTCCGTAATTATGAAATATAAATTTATATAGAAATAATTTAAAATTAAATATTATAATTACACTAAACAATTAACTATTTTACTGTTATTTATAAAGTGATTTACATCAATTAATATTTTGCACACTACATCACCCCCCACCAGAGACCGTGCCTACGGGCGAAAATAATCAGGATAACATACACGTCTTCCTGATCTTGTCTTTTTTATAGCCGATTTATTTTCTATGTTAGGTGTGTTGTTTGGTGTGTTGTTGGTGGTGCTATGGTTCTTTGTGTTGCTAGTGTGTTTAATTTTGAATATGTCGTGTAATATGTATGCAGGTTTAATACGATCTACTGTTACGGTAACTAGTTTACCATTAAAAAGAATTTTAAAAGTTTTATCTCCTCTGTTTAATACTTTATGTGGTCCCGAGTATGCAGGCTGTAAAGACCTACGAGTATCATCCCTTAGGAAAACATGGTCGGTGATTGCTAGATCCTTAAAGACAAAGACTGAACGACTATTACTATGCCTTGACGCTGGAGATGGATGTAAGTTTTTCGCAAACGTACGCAATCGTGTTATATATTCAGTCACATCCGCTGTCCCATCTGCTTGTGGTATAAAAAATTCGCCTGGAAGTCTAATAGTTTCCCCATATACAAGTTCTGCTGACGAAGCTTGAAGATCTTCTTTAAATGCGCTACGTATTTTACACGCCTTACAATACTAAAGGAAGGGCCTCGACCCAGTTTTCTTTTGCATGGCAGGTAATGGCGGCCTTCAGCTGTCTATGAAACCGTTCAACTAATCCGTTGCAAGCCGGATGGTAGGCTGTAGTGGTTCTATTCTGAAATCCTACCATATATGATAAGCGCTTGAATAGCTCTGACTCAAATTGTCCTCCGCGATCCGATATAATATCTGTTGGAAATCCGAAACGAGCTATCCATCCGCAGACTAAAGCTTTGGCTACTGTTTCTGCCGAAATGTCAACTAACGGTACTGCCTCAGGCCATCGAGTAAATCGATCGATTGCTGTGAGACAATACCGGTACCCTTGCGCTGATGGTAATGGTCCTATTAGATCTATGCGAATCTGCATAAATCTGGCACGTGGTAATTTGAAATTGCCTATGGGTGAATTTACATGCCTAGTGATTTTTGCACGTTGACACGCAAAGCACGTTCTGGTCCATTCGCGGCAGTCTCTTTTAATTCCTGGCCACACAAATCTTTCCGCTACCAGCTTGGCTGTGGCGTTCGCTCCGGGATGGCTCAGAGAATGAAGGCTTTCAAACACTTGTCTACGAAATTCCTTTGTTATGTATGGTCTTGGTGGATTGCTTCTCTCATCGCAGTACAGTTCGGTATGAGTACCTGGTATTTTAAGTTTTTTAAGACACAAGGAAGTATTACCTTTCAGAAGTAGCTGTAATTCCTCGACGGAGGCTTGAGCTTTAGCTAACACTGTCATATCAATGGACTGAGTAATGTCTTCAACCCTTGATAAAGTATCAGCTACCACGTTGTTTTTTCCTGAGATATGTCTTATGTCAGTAGTAAATGGAGAAATAAAATCGAGATGTCTGAACTGTCTTGGTGAGCAATTTTCTTTACGTGAGTGAAATGCGTAACAAAGGGGCTTATGATATGTATAGATAGTAAATTCTCTGGCATCCAGCGTATACCTAAAGTATTTGATAGCTTCATAGACAGCTAGAAGTTCACGATCATAAGGCGAATACTTTTTTGTGCTACACTTAGCTTTTGTGAAAAAAAGCAAGTGGCTGCCACGAGCCTTCTTTAAGCTGCTGCAATACTGCACCAATAGCAGTGTCCGAAGCATCCGTTACTAAAGCTATTTTAGCAGAACAGTCAGGATGCGCTAAAAGCGTAGCCTGGCGTAGACTCCGCTTACATGATTCAAATGCTACTAGCTGCTCAGTGGACATCTGAATCGGATAAGAACCTTTAACTGCACCTTTCAAGATTTCGTTCAGCGGTGCTTGATACTTAGCTGCCTAGGGGATGAACCTCCTGTAAAAGTTAAGCATGCCCAAGAATCTTCTTAGCTCTTTGACAGCTTTTGGCTTTGGAAAGTTATTAATTGCTTCAACTTTGGATGGTTGCGGCTTTGAACCCTCTGCTGAAATATGATAAACCCCTAAAAATGTTACCCCGTCAGAGCCAAATACGCATTTAGCGGTGTTTATTACCATCCCAAACTTCTTTAGTCTAGTAAAAATCTGACGAAGGTGATCCTTATGTGTTTCATGGTCCTTTGAGTACACTAAAAATCATCTAAATAAGCAAAGCAAAAATCTAGACCACGAGTCATTTCATCTACGAAGCGCTGGAACGTTTGTGCACTGTTACGAAGTCCAAACGTCATGTACGGGAATTCGTAAAGGCCAAAAGGCGTTGTAATAGCAGTTTTTGGGATATCAGCTTCGTTGACCGGAATTTGATTGTAGGCTTTGACTAGATCGATCGTTGTAAATACTTTGCAACCGGAAATATTTTGAGCGAAATCCTGAATGTGACGTATGGGGTAGCGGTCTGGAATTAGATAAGATAAGATAAGATGCTTTATTTGTCAGAATATGGTACATTACTGTTGTTACAAAAGAATTTTGATCCTAAATATTCTGCCGTTTCCGGCGTACAAATATTTTCAGATAGATAATTTTTCGAATAAAGTAGAAAACTAAGACACTAATTATTATATAGTTTAAAGATACTTGCCGCAATATTTATGGAAACCAAATCTGTATAAAACAATCATCAATCAATTCATAATGCTTTAGTTAAAACATTTCAAAAAATTAAATTCAGCAATTCAATAAATACAATTCGAGTCAATTTATCATTTAAGAAGTCATTTACTGAGTAATAACACTTATTTAAAAGAAATTGAAACAATTTACTTTTAAAGATTCCTTATTCATCTCTTTGAAACAAATAGGCAATTTGTTGTAAACATGTATTGCCATACAATATATATTTTTTGAGTAGAGTTGTATTCTTTGCTTTGGTACACACGATTTATGTATATTTCTACTAGTCCTAATTACAACATCATTGTGTTTTTCAAATAAATTACTATTTTTGTGAACAAAGATACAGATTTCGTGAACGTATAATGCTGGAAGCGGCAATATTTAATGTTTGCGAAAAAGGGGAATACAACTATCTAATTGGTGTGCTCCGCATAAAGACCGTACACATTTTTTCTGTCCACGAAAAGCTCTAATTAAATCAACAGAATTACCCCATATTATTAAGCCGTAACGTAGGATCGAAGAAACATATCCATGATAGGCAGAGAGTGCAGCCTCCATGTTAGCCACTCGTCTTAACCGATATAAAACAAAGACAAATTTATCTAACTTTTTACATAGGCTATCAATATGTGTCTTCCAATTACAGAACTTGTCTATTGTTACACCTAAAAAGTTAGTATGGTTAACTTCTTCGATTATGTTTTTCTCATATTCTATTTTAAGTGGTTCTTGTTTACTATTATATGTCTGAAATCTTATCATCTTAGTTTTTTCGATGTTAATTTGTAAATTATTATCTCTTAACCAATCTATTATTGTTTCTAAGGTCCTATTTATTTCATGTTCGTAGTCAAAATATTTATTATTATTTTCAATATTAATGGTAATGTTATCAGCATATAGCACACATTTATGAGTAGTTACGTTACAAAGATCGTTGATATAGATTATAAATAATAAAGGTCCCAGTATACTTCCTTGTGGCACTCCGCATTTATTTTCGCAATACTGTGATCTATAGTTTTTTCTATTGCGTCCGTCAGTAAGTTACTCAACTTGATACCTCAACGCATTGTCTTCGTTGACTTAAATAATCTTGTATTAATTTTAATGCATTGCCTCTTACACCATATCTGCTAAGTTTGTGTAACAATAATTCGTGGTCAACGAAGTCAAATGCCTTGGACATATCAATGAAAATGGATGTTATAGGTATTTTGTTGTTTAGGCTAGTTGTTATTAGTTTTATTAAGTTGAAACATGCAACCTTTTTTTGTAAACCCATATTGCTCTGGTTTTAATATTTCATGTTTGTTAAAGAAGTTATACGTAGGCGGTCCCATAATGAATTGGCCTAACTATGAACCAATGAAGGAAATGAAACGAAACCAATTTTATTTTTCAATATAATCACCATGAATACTAACACACTTCTGACATCTATGAATCAACATCTCTAAACCTTTATAAAAATAATCACATTTTTTAGCCTCAAAATGACTGAAGACGGCCGCCTGCAACTCTTCATCGCTTGAAAAGTCCCGCTTTAAATTT